GTTCGAAGAAATTGAGACTATGCGCGCACTGACTGAGTTGTACCTTGAAGAAACGGGTTCAAAGAGCGTTCCTAAGTAGTACCCAACTTTCTGAATTTCCACTTCTTCAGAAGATCGTCCCGTTGGTTTGAAAACATACCAAGAAGAATGGTATGGTTGGGTAGTCGTCCTTTTGAGGCGTTATACCTTTAAAATGGTTGTTGTACCAGTGCAAATCCCACCATTCCAGAGTGGCCTTAACGACAGCTGTTTAAGTGCACGGATGGGGAGTACAACTGAAATCCGCCTCTTCCTTACCTCAGCTAATGCTTGTTCTGGTGATCTGGATCGGAAAAAATTTCGAATGCGAGCGTCGATATAGCCATAATTCCGTTGTGTGTCACTGAAGGTAGTTCTATTTGGGATTTTCCTGCAGCCCTGTTCCAATATGTTCTCTCGAGCTTTCTTCTCCAGCGAGCAACTGTATTCCTCAAAAATACAAGTGTTATCATCGGAATTACGTTCAAAAAACAGTAGTTTTTCAAGAGAGTAATAAAGCAGAAAAGAGTTACCAATCTACGCATGTTTGATGCTTGCGGGAATTTTTCGCCAGGTTTCGTCAATGATCTTGGCACCTGTCCGAGAGCGAGTAAACTCCTATATTAAATAGCTCTTATATGTTATGGCAACCAGAAATTATTGTGGGTCATTCAGAAGGCTACTAGCTAGCGAGACTGATATTAGTATAATTTTCTAGAGAAAGGTTTGAGTAAAGTTCCATCTCCATTACGGGAGCTCATATTTTTACTCGCGAGTAGGAAAAGATAAAGATTCCGGTTTCGAGCTCCGTGTCATCATTGAATTTTTTCCCGCGAGGACGGTGTTCAACGGCATAAATTAGATACCAATGGACTGCCATATCTGACCAACAAGTAGGATCGGCTTGCGTTTGCCATCCAAGATAGAAAATTTCCCGGTTTTTTTTGAACCAAGTTCCCTCCGAAAGAGCGCACTGATGTTATCTTTGTATTGCGGGTTGGATAATAATGATTTCTTCAATACGAC